CTTCATTTGAAGTTGCCTTGAAAGATTTTTAGATTAATGCTAGGTTTACGAGTTTACGACGAGTTAACGAAGGTGAGAATAGCATCGTTTCTAGTTTATAATATTACTGATAGCACATATCAATTGTGATACTCGTGATGCTAATTCAAGGCACACTGTTCATAGTCGTTTTGGAAACACAAAATGAACGAAGCGAACAGCTTAACATTTTTTTTTAAACGAAACTCATTATTCTAATCCTTTGAAAGAAGAGAGAGCTAAATGAACAAAAGGTCATTCTATTATTTTATAATCATTTAACAAACAAGCCATATTATTATAATAAGCGAACGAAGTGATCAAAAAATCAGTTTAACATTTTGAGACAATTTAAATTTCTGATGAGCAATCTTTAGGATACAGATTTCTACTATACAGGATTACTTTGTTTCGAAGGATTTATATTATGAAATTATTTCGATTTTTCAATGCAACCAATAAGATGAAACGATATTTATGTTTTGTTTTGTTATAGAACATAAAACATTTCCTAAATATTACTATTATTCATTGCTGTATTTCGTTTCATAAATTTAATATGAACAAAATTAATCATTATATATATTACCACAGTAATATGCATACAATAGATTCGGTATTTATAATATGCAATCTTTATTATTTAAATAATTCGTTATTTAAAATACATAAAATTTATTGGTATATCATTCCTTAATTGTAATAGAAAATTTTTATTGTTATAGTGATACGTATTCGTTGATCATAATCATTAGCATATACGAAATAGATTTAATCGCTTACATAACTGAAAGAAAAAAAATAATAGAATAAAATGACAGATCATTTCAAACCACAAGATGAATCATCGCGGTAGTACTTTCATGAAATTTGACGGTTTGACTCTCTCTGTGTGTATTTGAATGCGCGTGTCTGTTTGGTATACATTTGTTGTGATGACTCGATCGGAGATGGTTCCGCTTTCGCAAGAAATTCCCATCATCATTGACGATGTAATTCGTTACTGAGGATGCTGATCGAAAATCTTGCCTTTGAACTTATTTCTTTTTTCAATCTTTATTATCTTCTTTTCTCCTAACTTATTTAAACATTTTTTTTTCATTTTAAAATAATTTGTTACACAGTTATCATTTAGTGAAAAAAGAAGACAATTATCGATATAATTATTGTAATTTGCTTTGCAAGCTATGTTATTGCCTATTTCAATGGAAGATTTGGAATTATTTCCAAAGAATAAACAATTGGTATTGCCCAAATCGCCGGTTGCACAGCTGTTACCAAATGAATTTGAACAGGCATGTTTATTTTTAATTCGATAAAAATATTTAATATTGGGTGATTATTCTTCATACTGATCGAATGATCACATTGTGTTGAACAAAAAAATTTTTATATTTTTCACCATTAATATCTAAAAAATTATTTGTCAATTTCTCATCATTGAAACTAATCTTTATTATGGAAACAAAAGGATAATTTAGCTAATAGAAAAAGAAAATTTTGTTTTAATATGAAAATGAAAGATAATACTAAATGTCAGATGCGCAATCAATTAGCAAAAATTTGGTGGTCTCGACTTATTATTTCCGTACGTGGTTACGTTGCAAACTATATTGAGGATAATGATGAGAAGCTATTTCTCGCTGATGATGCATTTATTATTATCCATCGTAATCTTGTTGAATCTACCATAACGAATGCCATGCAACAGGTTTGTAACAATTTTCTCACAAATAAAAAACACGAAAAAGAAAAATTAAATTTTCGAAAAATTTTCTTCAAATAATCTTTGTTCCAAGAAAATCTGTCAGTTTAAAAAATTCTAAATTCCTTTCTGGAAGTAAAAAAAAGCGAAAAAATCAAAATAATGTTTATAAGGAGCAGTAAAAAAAAAGAACACGAATAAAATTATTGCTGGAGAAATTACAATAATGAAAATAATATTGAAAAAATCGATATAAATTAAACATCAATTAGGAGTATTTGAAAAGATTAAAAAAGTTTTTTTCAAGAAAAAGAAAACAGAAAAAAGCGGAAGGTGGAATGGTTAACTTATGATTTAAATAATATGAAATAGAAAAAGAAAGACATGTTGTAAATGATATGAATCATTCATTAATCAAGGACATTTTACATTCCAATGCATTCTATCTTATTCCGATAGCGTTTTTTCAAAATACTTTTATTATTTTTATTAAAGTTAACAAGTTGGGATTATAATTAAAAAGATAAAAACTAAAAGAGTTAAAGCTGTCAAATTCTCGAGCATTCATCTTTTATCCGTCCTGCTAAGCCCAATGATTCTAATTACTCTAATTACTAAGTAATACATTAATGGTTTTCTTTCAAGTAACGAATTGAACTTACATCGAATAACATAGTTAATACAAGAGTGGGCATTAATTAAATTCAAATTCTCTTTGAGTTGGGTCTTTGGAGGGCTTTAATTAAAAGAGTTTAACTAACTTCAGCTACAACAAACGAAAATCTTGCATATAATTTCGTCCTTCAAATTGTCAATGCAATTATAACAAATTAAATTGATTAATAATGTGAAGAAATACGAATAAATTTACAATCGAAAATTCTGTTTTAAAGAATAGCAGAATGATTTAAATTATTGACAGTTATTATTTTGAATTTTTTTTTTTAATAATTTTTAACATATCTTTCAATATTAAAAAAAGACACACAAAGCATCGGTTCAGCATCATTTTCCATTCTCTTCTAAGTTTTTTTTTCACTTATTCTATCACTTAATTTTCAAAATGAAAAGAATACAATTCAAGAAGAAAGTGATCATTTTATTTACAAAGCATTCAAGTTTGTTAAATGTTCTCTGTAGATAAGTCAGCAACTAGCCACTCAGTGAAAGAATAAAACTCGTTTTTCATGAAGTTATTACTTTTTTCATTAAAAACGAAATTCCTGTAAATATTTTCTTGCTGTCATCATTATCAAGAGAACGATTTTCTTTATAAAACAAAATTACTTTTGAAAGCTATAAATTTTCGAGTTAGCGTTGAAATAAAATAGTAAGACAGTATTGAGATATATTATCAAATATTGAAGTTTGGACGGAAGGAACGATATCAGCCATTTTTTTCCATACAGAAATTTGTAAAACAGTAATTTCTGAAGACAAAAAATATTAAAAATATACTTAATTTCAGGTCCATTATTAATTTCAAAAAACTGACCAATAATTTCAATAATTAATCATTTATTTAAAATAAAACCTTCAATTCAAATAAAACTTTAATTTGCCTTCAATATATACATTTTTAGTTTCTAATTGATCTAGAATTTATTGTTAATTATCCGGATATAATTGCAATTCTTAACGATCTCAATAACGGTTTATCAAAACGTAATCCATTTACAGATCCTAAAAGTAGCAATTATTTTATCAGGTTAATTATTTCTTTCATTTTTAAAAATTTTTAGATTTCCACATTTTAATTTTCTAAGTATACATATATTTATTTATTTATATGTTTATTTGTTTATTCATATATCCATCCACTTATTTATTAATTAATTTTAGGATATACGGAGAACCAAATGCAGCGACATATCGCATTGCAAATGCTCAAATTATTGCTCATATTACGTTCATGCATATATTCTCAACATTACAACAACGATGGAAATTTTCAGCAAAAAAACTTAAGGGTATCCGATTTCAAGAGGATCCGGAATGGCAACCTGATGATCGTGTTGTCCTATTTCAACATTTCTTTAAAGGTTTATACTTCTTACAAGATTATTGTAATGTATACAAATATGAAAATTCTTTCAAATTATATTAGAAATATTTATTTCACATGTTAATAAATTACTAAAAAA